AAATTATTATAAATAATTTAAATATTAGATTTTATAAATTTATGCAATATGTAGATGAATTCAAAGAAAACAAAAAATGGAAATTATATTATTTTTGAAAAATTAAAAACAAAACAAAAATAGAAAAAATGTAATTTTTAAAAATTTAAAAATTACTGTTGTTATTACTGTTATCATTATACTATTGTCATCATTATAATCATCTCTTTTTTCCAAATTCACGTCACAATAATCATTCAACTCAGTTCAAAAATTGAATGTTAATATATGTTTTTTAATATTTTTCTTTTAGATTAGCTGCATTTAAAATTTCGATAAAATCGTTAAAATTAAAATAAAACATTTTTTATTATTTTAAATATTTTATCTTTTCTTTCTAGTACACTTCATATATTTCCGATTCAATTGATGTGTTTCCTTCTGCTCAGCCTTCACTTATTCCTCTTTGACGAATATTTTCAATTATTTTGTTAATCGATAATATTCGCAAGTTGTTGGCTTTGATGGAGGAAATATAATTGTTTTTGCATATTGAGGTTAATTTTATTTAACTACAGTTTTAAAGAAATTGGGAAGTTAATGATGTGATAATTTTCAACAAACTTTCTAGCTATATCTTTTATTGGGTAATAATATTCTGAAATTGTTTAGTTGTGATTCCACGATTCAATTTGAATAAATATACATAATTTACTTGAGAGACAATTTATTTCTTTTAATGCATTTATTATTCAAAAAATAAATTTATTAAATAATTATTAAACATCAATGAAATATAATTAATTTTTCTTAAAATTATTTTGTTTTTAAAAATAGAATTAAAGAAAAAATCCTTGTCAAAAATAAAACAATAGAAAAATGGAATTTGTGAATTTGATATATGACAATAAATTTGTTTATTTTACATGTATCACAATATATATCACATATATATACATAATGTGTATGTGTATGTAGTACTACACAAATTTATAAATAATTAGTATATCTATACATAAGAAGTATATTTCAAATAATATGATAATGACCTTTTCTCATGTGTATGTTCTACATACATCAAAATTATAAATGTATATGTACGAATATGTATTCGTAGATACAATAATAAGTTTATAGAATAATTCTATTTATAAAAATTAAATTTTATTTATTTATTTTATTATTTTTATTTAAACTTTCCACGTAAACATGGTTAGAGAAACAAAATGAATATTGTAAATATCGCAAAAATTTTGCTAAAATAATTTTTTTATTTTTTGTTTCATAAATTGTAAATATTTGTCTCCCGATTTCTTTTTAATTATTTTGACTTATTATTACGATTTAAAAAATATTAAAAATTTCTTTAAAAATAATTTTAAATTTCGTAAGTATCCATAATATTACGATACTTTTAAAAATATTTTCGTCAATTTAAAAATTTATTTATAAACTATTTATTGTAAAATGTTGAAAATTTGAGAAAATTAGTAGATATAATATGGGGATACTAAATATAATGAATTTTTTATAATGAGAATATATTATAGAAAAAATAAAAACATAATGACGTCACATCAGAATGTATTATAGAAGAAGTAAAGCATAATGACGTCACATTAGAATATATTATAGAAAAAGTAAAAAATATTTTTGGGGTAGGTATAACGGAATTGATCTAGAATTTATAATAACATCACTTAAAAATAAAGCGATATGTAGAGGTGGAGGGGTAGGAGCATGGTCGGCGGCGGGTGCGGCAGTGTGGCGGAGGCGGTGGCGGGGGCGTTGGAGGGGGCTACGGCTAACTGTCCTGAAAAGTTGAGTTGTAGGAGCCGGGGTAGGAGCGGTGTAATTGGTTGTTCAGATGACCAACCACCATTAATAAGGGTTTGACTCTCAGTTTTATTCAATGAAATGTAATTTTTTAAGCATGATGTTATACTTACGTTTCTACTGTAATCAATTTCTTTCCCGTTTAACTCATACCGTATCTCATCGAATAAAAATGCAATAGCATTATTTGTAAGCTTTGTTTTAGTTGTTTCAATACCATTTGTTTTTGTAATAGTACCTTCAATATAAAGTAAGCTGGTAGATGGTAAAATGTTTAAATTTTGATATTGTATTTGTATACGTATGATATCGCTTTTATTAAATGAACTCAAAAATGGTGAAGATGTTCATGTATGTAATGAATAACGAGGCCAAGAATCTTAATTCGAATATTTGATTTTTCCCTAATGCGATATATTTTGGGTAAAATTTGAATTTGTTGGGTAAAATTTGAATTTTGCCTGGATATTTTGAAAGAGCTTTAATAAATAAATGGCAATCGTATCCAGAAAAATTATGGAAAAAGATAGGAAAATAATTAGGAATTCTATATTTTAAATTACAATTAGTATGAGCAGGTCCTTGATATTTTCCGGTTAGATGACAGTGGTCGTCAACTCTTTTATGATCTAAAAATTTTTTAAAAATATGATAATTTTTTTTATCTAATTAAATTCTTAGTTCTAGATTTGTTAATGGTTTCATTGATTTATAATTTTTAATATAATCAGTATATAATTTAGTTGTATCACTTATTATATTACTTACAAATTTATCAATGCAATTCGAAAATATTTATATTTTCATCAAATGAAGACTTAATATTATATGCATATGAACATGGAATATGAATTTGAATATCTTCAGTTGATGATATAGTTGGATTAGGTGAACAACTGCTAATGTCCTGTAATATGCATTCAAAGTCTGCATACACTGCGAGTGGTACATCTTGTTGTCTTTCATATTTTTCAAATTTAATTATTTTTTTTTCTTCATATTTTTCAAATTTAATTATTTGTTTTTCTTCTGAAGGTAAGCCTGTTATAACTTTGTTACACTCTGGTTTATGTGATAGCAGATCCCGTTCATTATGAAAAAATAATAAACAAGTATTACACAAATGAATCATTTATTTATGTTTAGTTAGTTGCGCTCATATTAGTCTAGATATATTTTTAATCCACACGAAATGATATCTATCTCCCCCTGTTATATACAAAAGATTAATATGATGCTATTTTTCTTCTTTTAAAAAATAATATGGTCCAACTATTTGATAAAAACAAGTTTCTTTTTGTGTTTCCATCATTTCATATCCGAATACATTCAAACTGATTGTTGGATTCAATTCCTCGAATTTTTTAATATCTGTAATTTTTAAAGGAAAATTCAGATCACCAAATTGCAGAGTAATATTTTTTAGTACAATTGTACTTGCATCTATGTTCAGAACTCTGTATGTTGAAGGGGTATTTAAATTTGTGTTACCACCATTATAAAATTTGGAAATTATAGCCCATTTAAAGCAATATTCGTCTTGATTCATTACGTTTACGCATGCTTTTTTCTTTTGAATAAATAATGGTAATGGTAAATATGGTGAGCCTCTAAGAGGTTTGTATTGGTTGATGTTTATTTCTAAGTGAATGATTCTTAAGAAAGCCCAACCGCTATCAGTTTCCTGAAATTCTTCAGTTTTCCGTATGATAACATTTTTCATATCATAGGATGCATCTGTTATTTCTGTATCATTATGAATTGCTGTCATTTTCGAATTAAAAAATTTCGTGCTTAATAAGGTCATCTTCTGCATTATCTTCAACATCTTGAGATTTTATGTATTCTGCAAACATATTTAAAACAACTATGTTTTTGAAATGAATGTTGTAATAATTCCATAACTCTGGGTTGAGCTGTGCTTAGATATTCCCCCAGCGTAAGTGTTTCTTCTTTAGCATTTTTCAATATATACATTTCTATACGTTCATTAAACAAACTTTTCATACATTTCCATCCGTTATCAGTTAGCTTTGCTGCATTTTTTTATGTAAAAACGTTCTCACGTGATACAACAAATTTTTATAAGGAATTTTCAATTGACATTCCTCACAAAATTTTGTTGGAGACAACACTTTAAATTATTTTAACACTTTTAAGAAAACTAAAGCTTCTGCTTTTCCAATTATACTAAAGTTTCAGGTTAAGTAAAATATATAAATTACATTTTTACCGATCGCATATGTAATATAATTTCTAAATATAAACAAAATGTGATTATAATAGGGAATCTCCTGATGTTATTTTTCAAGTTTACAGATCTAGCTTACTATAATTTTTTCAATTCTTTCATTCTTTACACAGTTTTGATAAAATTTCAAAACAAAAACCACAACAAAATTTTCTTATCTCTATGATGATGAAAAAAATTTCTTTCATCAGATATGCCAAGGTTACGCTGAAATATGATTTGGTTCCCATTACCCTGGTTTGAAATCGGTGGTACTATAAGTATACACCCATAATACTGAATTCTGCACTTGATGATTTACAAAACAGGCCTTTATGTGTTGTGTACTAATCTTGTAGCCCATCACTACTCTGTTATACTTCGTGGAAAGTTTAATTCTTTATCAACCACTTAAAGCATTCGTTAATTTTTGTTTAATCGTGTATGTTAGAAAAGTTACAAAAGCTTCAAAATAAAGCCATGCAGATCATTTTGTATACGTCGATAAATTTTCTGTTAGTTTGTCTTCAGCGGTTGTATTAACATCAATGTGTTGTAGTTAAAAAAACATGTTGTTGCGTAAAGGGTTAAGATTGTATAATAGTATTCCAAATGATTTAAAGATTGAAAATAGTTTAAACATTTTTTAAAGAAAAATTATTGAATACATAAAATCAAATTTTGGAATTTTATAATTTTTTAAATTTTAATGGAAAATTTTTGTTTTTTTCACAAAAATCTATATTTTAATGTATGTATAGATATGAAGAAATTGTGTTTTCAATGTGTAGTTACATCTACTAAATAAAGAAACTTAAATAAACATCTTGGTGTAATTCCACTGATATTATTTGTTTATGTTTGTATTTATTTATTTTCTTTTTAAATATTTTCATAAATATTTCTTGTCATACTGTAATTCGAAATACTAAAAACTCATTTATTTCAATTACAGTTGGTTAGACCTGTTCCCACATCTATGGACTTTCATCTAGACAGTGCAGAATACTGTCAGGCTCAGCACAAATAAAAAGTAAGTATTGTATTTTATATAAAAATAAAAATATATAAAATAACGAATTCACATTAATTCGTTAATAAAAAAAAAATTACTTCTATTCTAAATTGTAATTCTGTTATATTACAAAATTAAACTGTGTATTATTTTAAATTCGAATGCTATTTATACAAATATATTGCTAATTCTGCAATTGATATAATTTTTATATTACAAATTTTCTTTATTAAATTCTTAAAAGAAAACAGTTCTAGATTTGACGGTTTTTTTCTTTTTTTGGTCACATGTATAAATTTAAAGAAGAGATTTTAATTTAATCTGTTTTTGACGCCCGTTGGGAGCAGCATAGATAATTAGAGTTAGTCTGCTATGGCACGATTGGAATCACATTGTATAGAATCTAGAACTAACTATTTATGTTTCCACAGTAAAGACATTCTATAATTCTAGGTCCCTGTTGCTCGGGCGCCAGTTAAGAAATTATCCGATCCCTTTTATTGAGTTAACTTATCTGCTTGTAGACGCGAAACATAACTAAATTTAATAATTAAAAAGAAATTTTTAATTATTAAGGAAATACTATAAAATTATAATATAAACTGAATAAGCTAATGCTTGTTACACATTTATTGGGGGAATATTATAAAAATGAACTTTATAAAAGTGAATTTAATAAAGAATACTCTTATTTTTGGATTATAAAATTAAATGAATAAAAATAATATTTTTATAAGGAATATATACTAATCTCTGCGTCTTATGTTATGCGCGCGCGTAGTGCATTGCTTTTTCAAAACATATAAATAATAATATTAGTAACAAATAGAATAATGTTTTTTTTTTTTATTTAATTAATTATTTTATATAATTTCTATTCTTATCATTTTAGGGGAAAAAAAAGGAAGAAAGGAGAATATTTTTAGTAGTGTAAAGCAACAATAAAAAAACAAAAAAAAAAAAATTTTTTTTTTTTCAAAAGATTTTAAGACGATTTTTTTTTTCGGTTTCCATATTTTTCAATAAATACATTTACATTTATTAATATACGTATATGTATATACATATACATATTCCATAAATGAGAAATAATTACTAAATCTATATTTAAAGTTTCCGCACTTTTTTTTTTTCATTTTTTTCTGTTTTTTGTTTTCTTTCTTCAATTATTTACTTGTATTTTTAAAATTTATTTTGATTTTTTTTTTTTAAACAAATCAATAAAGTATAAAGGAAATTTTTCTATTTAATTATTAAAATTTCAAAGTTTCCATAAAAAAAAAATTTATTCCCAAAATTTGAATTATAAAGAATCAAAAAGAAAAAATTCATAAGTAAAAAAAAAATTATTATTATTAAAATATCCGGATTACGGAAAATTTGTATTTTAGCTAAAATTTAAATAATAAAGTCAATACAGTCCCAATTAGAAAGCTTATTTCAGTAAAAAAAAATCGTCTAACTCCAGAGAACAAAAAAAAAAAAAAAATTTTTTTTTTTTCGAACAAAAATTTTTATATTAAGCGCATACATTGAAAATAATTGTCATTTTTTGTTTTTTTTTTTTTTTTTATTTCCATTATTTTTTTTAGGATAAAAAAAATATTTAATATTAAAAATTTTTTTTTTTTTTATTGTATGTATATTGTATTTGTGATAATTATAAGTAAAAAAATTACAATATTATATTATAAAATATTTAAATATTAAAAAAAAAAAAATAATAATAATAATTACAATAAAATTATAATAATAATAATTAAAGAGGAGAAAAATAAGTCTTTCATAAAAAATTGTTTTCTGTTTTTAAAATAAATTAAAAAAAAAATTAAACATATTTAAATTAATTTTTAATAAATTAGTTACAAAAAAAAATTTTTTTAAAGAAAACCAAACAAATAAAATTTTATGGTAAAAAAAATATTAGGAAAAAACAAAATATAAAATTTTACTAAGGTGGAAATACACACATACAAAGAATTAGCAAGAAAAATTCACCAAAAAAAAGAAGTACTTAAAATTGCTTAATATTTTTTTTTAAATTTCTCATCTTTTTAAATTTTTTTTTATAATAATTATTGTTTTTATTATTTTTAATAAAAATAATATATCTATATAAATAAGTATTAAACTATATATATCTCTACATATATATATATATATATACATTCATGTTATTTTGAGAGATATATAAAAACAAAGCAAAAATTTATTGTAATTAAATTAAAAAATAAAATTATTTTTTTATAATTAAATAAAAGAGAGGAAAATTAGAAAAAAAAAAAAATATTAAAATATTTAATAAAATTATATTACAAAGGCAACTATTAAAAATTTAAAAATACAAAAAAAAAATTTAATTAATAATTAATAATTTCATTAAAAAATTAAATTAGAAGCAAAAAAAAAATATAATTAATATTTTTACCAAGAAACAAGAACTTCTACCAAAGGCCTTTTACTATACAAAAAAAAAAAAATTAAAATAAAATAAAATATATATAAAAATAATGAAATAAAACACAATATATAAAGAAAATTAATTAAAAACTATAAAATTTAAAAAAAAAAAATTTTTGATTAAAATCGAAAAAACAAAACTGCTATAAAAAAAAATTTTCTTTAAAAATAAAACACAAAGAAAGAAAAACTCCTAAAATACACACAAAATATTAAAAAAATATTAAGAAAAAAATAAAAAATATATTTTTCCTCAATTTACAAATTTAATAAATTCTAACAAAACAAAGTTCAACTAAAATCTAAAATTTCATTTAATCATCATTTATGTAAAAAACAAAAAAAAAAAGAGAGAATATAAAAACCAAAAGAAAGAAAAAAAAATTGAGCTCATTTCATTAAAGCATTGCTCTGCTCCCATTTTTAAAGTAAAAACAAGAGAGAAATTAAAAAAATTAAATAAAGAAAACAAAATAAATAAAAATAAACGTAAACATTTTAATAAGAGAAAATTAATTGAGAATTAATTCAAGAGACTTAATTAAAAGAGAATTTTAATTTTTTTTCTTTAATTTTCAATCTTAAATTAAAAATAAATTTTTGCACATTTCTGGGAGAAAAGTATTAATTAATTTACTTTTTTTTTTTTTCTTTCATTTTCGTTTTTTCATTTTCATAAAAAATAATATTTCTTAAGAAAAATATTTTAAATTTTATACATTTATATTACAAATTAATAAATATTTCTTGCTGAATTATTATTATTATAATTAAACAAAAAAAAGAGAAAATACTTAAATTGAATGATTTAGAAAAAAAAATTTATAAAATAAATAAAAAAAAAATTATGTAAAAAAATTTATCTATTCTATTGTATAAAAAAAAAAAATATTTTTTTTTTGTTTTTTTTTTATTTTGTTTCATATTTACTACAATAAACAAAATAAAAATTAATATTTCATAATTTTTTAAAAACTTGTGAATTTACAAAAAAAAAAAAGAAAAAAAACAACTGATAGTTAAAGAATTTTTTTTTTATTGTATACATAAAATATTCATTTTAAAAATTAAATCAAAAAAAAATTTAAATTACCTTAAATTTTCCAACTAGAACGCAAAATACAAAACAAAATAGAAAACAAGAAAACAACACTATTACAATTTTGAAAAGAACATCAAACAAAATCGAAAAAAAAAAACAAACAACAAGAACATAAGAACAAAAAACAATTACTGTTATTATTGTAAAAGGCAAGAGAAAAAAAAATTTTAAGAGAAAATTTTTTTTCTTTTATATTTCAAGGAAAATTTCATATAAATAGGTAAAAGAAACCAACAAACAAGCAACCGAAAAAAAAGAAAACAAAAAAAAATTAAATTTTGATTTTAGAAAGAGAAAAAACAACAATAATTAAGACTATAGTTGTTTCCTTTTAACTTGCATACATTTTTGTATTTTAATTTTGCTAAAAGAATCTTTTATTTAAAAATTTTTTTTTTGTTTTACTTTTTTTTTAAAGAAAATATTTTAAAATTAAATTTTAAATTATTTTAATAAATATAAAATATTTTTTTTTTTTATATTAAAAGAAAAAAAAAAACTTAAACTATTACTTAAAGAAAAAAAAAAAATAAATTGTCAATAAATTCAGAATATATTTCATAAATTTATATAACATATATATATATATATAAATTATATATATATATACCAACAAATTTTGTTTAAATTCATATTAAAAAAAAAACAACAAAAAATTATTTTAATGACAAGCATCATGCGTCAAAAGGATATTAGACCAGCACCAGCCCGAATTGAATTTAAAGGGATGCAATTTTTAATAACAGATCGGCCTTCAGATGTTAATATACAACATTACATTGTGGTAAGAATTATTACAAACAAACAAAAAAAAATATGATTCTATATATTGAATGAAAAAACAAATATGATTCTAAATTTTGCCATGACGTATGTGACACCAGCTATATTCCGTTCAATCTTTGTTGTTGAAGCGTTCATTTTATAACATTTTATAACAAAAAAAAAAAAAAACTAGAAACTTGAAATTTGGCACAAATGCGTATTTCCACTGCTCACAGATCTGTATTGAAAATAGGCAAAATTGATCTATTAGATCAATCTGTTACCTTCCATTCTCGTAAAATGTTCTAGTAGACGCTATAAAATAATTCAGATATGGTTGTTTGTGGAAATGGTCTCTAAAACTTTTATAATTTTTATTCATCACCTTTCTCAAATATTGTAGATTTCGAGAAAGGTGAAACTTTCTAAAGTCGAAAAATTTTAAGAAAGGTTTTAAAAAAATTAGGCCAAAACGGTCACACTGAATTTTGTCACAAAGATATAGAAAAATTGTACAATTTTCTGTTCAAAATTTTTTAGAAAAATAATCGCAAGTTACAGAAAATGAATCTAAAAAAAAAAAAATCTTTTAAAAAATTCAAAAATCACCCTTAAATTTTTATTTCCTAGAAATTTTTAAAATATTAAACCTAGTTTTAATATTAATTTTTTTCCCCCGTTGAATTTTCATTATTCACTTTTCATTACGTTTTGACTAAGTTGTACATACTCGTACCCAACAGTTGTACATACTCGTATATAATATAATCGGTTAATATAATGAGCTGCTCTTTGAGTTCGCACGCAAACTTCACAATATTTTTTAAATGTTCTCAAAAATAACAACAACAAAAAAAAAAATAAACAGATGTGACATAATTAATGAGATTACAATTTTCAATTAAGAATTTTGTTGTCATTATTTATGATAGTCTACTGTGAATGTCATCATATGTCATAAAATAATTTTATTGAAAATATTGTAGGTATTAAAGAATTTTTTTTTTTCTGTTTTTTTTTATAACTAAATTTAATATTTAATTTTTCATTAAAAATTTTTTAGGAATTAAAAAAACATAATGTAAGCACTGTGGTACGTGTCTGTGAGCCAAGCTATAAAACTGATGAGCTAGAGAATCAAGGTATAACTGTTAAAGATCTAGCTTTTGAGGATGGAACTTTTCCACCACAAAAAATTGTTGATGAATGGTTTGAAATTTTAAAACAAAAGTAAGTAGCTTATATTAATATTATTTAAGAGTTGATCTCATTTTGTATCTAACACGTATTTTTATAATATTTAGTCATTTTCAAATTAGGGACCTTACCATGTAATTTGATTTTCCGTGAAACAATTTCGGTATTTGCAAAAATGGAATGAAATGGTAGTACCATTTTTTTCGAATACAAAAATCGTTTCATGAAAATCGAATAAAATATGGTAAGATCTTCAGGATTTTAAATTTTTTAAATTTGAATTTTCCCATTTTTTCTTAAAATATGAATTGAACTTGTAACGGCCCAGAGTACATGTTTAACTTGTACCCTATTTTTGCTTCGTTCAAATATTCTTTAATATTTTCGGAGAATAAATTCTTTTTCATTTTTATGATTAAAACAATTTAATAAAGTCTCTTTAATATTAAAAAAAATATTGCATGCAATTCTTATTAATAAACGTTTAATTTCATTTTTGGATAGGTAAAAAGAAAAACGATGTAATTAAAACTTTTATGAATTTATTATCTATTAACTTTCAAGGACCACGAAAATAATAAAAAACAAAATTTTTTTTTGTGTCCTTGCAAATTATTTTTATTACTCGTATTATAAAATATTTACGTAATAATATTTTTTTTAAGAATGAAATTTTTTTTGAAGCAATTTGTCTTAAAAAAAATTTAAAACGTCATTTTTATATGTACGTAACGTAGACGTAACATTAATTATTGTCTGACGTTACCGTATTTTTCCAATTTAATTTTTACATATTGTTCGCATTTTAATAATAAAATTTCTAATCGCAAATATTATTTTTAATTTATTTTTTTTAAGCTATTCACAAAATCCAGAAGCTTGCGTTGCAGTTCATTGTGTAGCTGGTTTAGGACGTGCCCCAGTTTTAGTTGCTTTAGCATTAATTGAATTGGGCCTCAAATATGAAGCTGCTGTTGAAATGATACGAGAGTAAGTTTTATTGTTGAAATTAAGAAGTTTTTAATTAATTTATATTGTGAATATTGTTTAAGTATAGGACAGAAATTAATATTGTAATAATTTCAATAAATATTAAAAATTATTTTAATTTTGAAATTATTAAAATATATAAAAGATTTAATTTTTAAAATTCAAATTGAATTATTCAGAAATATATTTTTAATAAAATATATGGGCTGATTCAGTAAAGAATACAAGATTACAGTAAAGCCCGGTTAATTGCCTCCCCTATTTTGTTGTGAAAATATAGCTGCCTAATTGTAGTCGTAAAAACAATTAAATGAATTCTCTTAGCTGCGCAATTTATCCACTTAACTGGAACCTGCTCAACTACCTTAAACGGACTATTAAACGAAATAAAACAAAATCGAAATGACACACAAATATTTATTCAAATTTTTATTCTATGAATATTAATAGATTTTGCAAACTCTCCTGAAGTCAATTCTTTTTCGATACTTGTCAATTGTTTTTTTATTAGTAATTCAGTAATGTTATTAGTGTAATAGGCACAATAGTTCATGTGATTGTGTGTTTCAAATAGAAGATTACATGTAGTATCTCAATACTTAGTAATCATATGGGTTACGGTATAAAGCAATGTGAGGAACAATTCATCAGCAATTTCTTCATGTAACTCAATTGATATAGCGTCCGCTTAGAAAGCTATAGGTTTAGTTCGAGGAGAAAAAATATGTAATTTTTCTGCTTTTAACACGTCCCTTATTGTTATGGATTGTTATTTAAAAAGCTTGTTATTTTGTGAATAAAAAAAAATTTCAAATTGCGAAATTCTATACTGAAAAACTAAATTATTTTCAATAATATTCCATACGACTAACAAAATATGGTTGAATATTTTACTCTCTATTGAATCCTTATACATAATTCATTTTAAATTAATCATTAATTAATTATGATAATTCATTACAAATTATTTTATATTTTAATTTAAATATTAAATATATTTTTTCTACATATTAATTTAAATTTCATTTTAATAACAATATTAATTTTCTTTTTATTTAATCTATTTTTAGTAAAAGAAGGGGAGCTATTAATGCTAAACAACTATCATATTTAGAAAAATATAGGCCAAAATCTCGACTAAAGCACAAAAATGGTCACAAGAATTCGTGCTGTGTGCAATAGATATCAAAAATTCCCACCAGATGCAGTGTTCATTTTAACCGAAAATATAATTGAAAAAACAAAAAAAAAATAAATAAATAAATAATTAATTAAAAAAAAAATAAATAAATAAATAAAAGAAAATTAAAAAATTATATAAAAATAATATGGAAAAAACAAAAAAGAAAAAATAAAATTTATTAATTATATAAAAAATATAAAAAGAATATCTACATATACAATATATATATATAAATATTTAATAAAGTAAATTGAGAAAAGAAAGAGAATAAAATTTTAAAGTAAAACAAAATTTAATGTAAAATTTCACAAAATATTTAAAATTATGTAAAAATTTTATTTTTTCTTTTACATTTAAAAAATATATAATTTTTTTTTTCCAATTTTAATTTTGATATTCTTGATTAAAAATAGAATAATTAATGGATTTAAAATGGCATTGTATTTAAAAAAAAAAAAATGAAAATTTTATTTTATAATTTTATTTATTTTTTTTTTAATTGTAAAACAAAATTAAACAAAAAAATTATTCTTAAGAATACCATAAACAAAGAAATTTTATGAGAAAGATGGGAAACCAATTAACCAAAAATTTTTTTTTGTTTTTACTTGACTATCCTGCAGAACGGGATTGATTTGAAGATTTTTCTTCAGATTGTTAATATTTTGATGGTATTTTTAAATTTTTCTTATAACAAGAGAAATTTAACTATTAATTTTCTTTTAAATAACAAATTTTATTTTAAATATAAAAAGAATGCATAATTGTTTTCTTATACTTAATACCCAAACTCCATGGTATATGGGCGCTTTTACATATTTTTTAAATCTAACATTTTCAAATATTTCTATTACTTAATCAAGAATTTCATACTTAAAATACAATATAAAAAAATTCATACTTGTTTTTATTTATGTTTTTTTTTTTTTTTATTTAATTGGGAAGAATAAAAGCCAATAAAAAAATGTATATTTATTAAATTTAATAAATTGAATATAAAAAAAATATGTAGTAAAAAAAAAAAATACAGAAGAAATGAAGAAGAAAATTTTTTAATTTTTAAAGTAAAATATTTTTTATATTTTATAACAAGAAAGAAGAAAAATTTAAATTAGTTTAAAAAAAATAAATATATATATATATTCTTTCTTTTCTTTCTTTGTTTTAATGTTGTATAATTTAAAAATTGAACATTTATAAAATGATATTGTAATATTTGTGCTTTTTTTTTTAATTTTAATTATGATTTGATTTTTATGTATTTGTAAATTATTAAAAAAACCAACAAAAAATTAAAATAATTATGTATAAATATTTAGAACACAATTTAAATATAAAAAACATTTCAAAAAAATAAAAAACTATAAAATAAAAAATAAAATATTGTAAAGACCAGTAAAAATACAAAAAATTTTTACCAAAATAAATAAAAAAAAAAAAAGTTTTGTTAAAAATATACTTATAAAATTCAAAAAATAAAAAAAAAACAAATTAGGTTTTCTATATTTAAATTTTATTGATATAACTATATAATGATAATTTAATAAAATAACAAAAAAATATATTGCAAAATAATTTCCTCTTCTAATAATCTCTAAAAAAAAAAAAACTAACATCTCTCAAAGATCATCAAAGATTTCATAAAGATTGAATTAATGTACATAATTAATAATATAAAATATATTTACAAAATAATTAAATATTTAGATTATATTTTTGTTTTAAATTTGTATGAGAATATTAATGAAAATTTCAAAAAATAATAATTTAGAAATTTTATTGTTAATATTAATTAAAATATTTCGATAAATTTTAATAATATTTGATAATTTATAAATTTAAAATAAAATTAATCATGAATTAAAATTTTTCAATTTATAAAATTATAATTATAAAATTAAAGCCAAAATAAAAAATATAATATAATTTTATAATAGTTAAAATTCATTAATCATTAAACAAGAATTTTTATTATCTCTATAATGAATTCCATTCGTAGAGTCCTACAAATTACGAACATAAGTATATCGTCGTAGACTTTTGATTGATTATAAATTCCTTTCGTAGAGATTATTAATCACAAATGGCAGTATCATTTTTCGGAATATTAAAATCAGTATTTTATTTCAACTATCAAATATTTATTTATATATTTTCGTTGCTATTTCAATAAACAACTATTATCTAAAGTTTTTCAGTTTTCTTAAATTTTGAATAACTTTTTTTTTTTTTTTTTTTTTGGCAACATGAATTCATTTCTTTACATGGCATCTATATTAGAGTAATTCAAACTCAAACAAAAAAAAAAATTCAAAATTTGAAAATTTAGTACAATCAATTAATACTCTTTTAATTTATGAAAGTAATTTTTACTACGAACGTAATTTATGATTCGTAATTTTCTGAATTTGAAAGCTACGAACGAAATTTATGATAGGGTTGAATTTATTATTCAATACATTATGATAAATTAATATTCATTTTTCAAACATGATCAAAAACAAATAATTAATAAATAGTTAAAAATAATGAAATTGAAAATATTTTATTTAAAAACAATTTTTCATGAATCATGAATATAAAACAATTTCTTATTAATAAGTATTTAATTATTAATAAGAAATTGTTTATGATTATTTTATTTAACAATTGCTTATTAGTAATTATTTAACATGGCTTCAATATTAGAGTCATTTTAATAATAGAATTTAGTTATTGATATAATAAATAAAATAGAAAATATTTCTAAAATTTTTTTAACTATATTTGCATCATTATTAATTAATTAAAAATAAATTTACTGACATTCTTCAGTTTTATTCATTTTTTGAAATGAAATAATTCTATAAAAGAAGCATTATTTAAAGATAAAAAAACACAGGGAACTCGCAAATTAAAATGCATTTAGTTTGTTTTTTTTTTTTATATTCGTTATAAAAGTAAAATATTTTAAAGTCATTCTTTAAAATTGTATTTTGTCTGCCGAATCGTTCCTTTTTGTTTATTTAAGTTTTATCATCTTTTGGAAATGAAAACTATTTTAATATTTGAAAGTATTTATATGAAATTCCGATGAAAAATTTAATAAAATTATAAAATAACTAAATAGTAAATAAAAACTGACTGAATTTATAATTTTTAAATTTTTGTGAACAAAAATAGATGATGCAATTTAAAAAAAATTAAAAGCATTGATTCCATCAACTTTATGAAATCTTTATGAAATAAAAATAAAATAGAAGAAATAATTACAAAAACCGCATGAATTAATATTATTACATAATTTCGTACTTAATTTTATTAGTTATTTTTGTACAATTTCTAATTATCATTTACTTTTCAAAATAAAAATTTTTTCATTTATTATTTAAAAATTGCAAAATTTAAGAAAACAAAAATATTCTCTCTAATATTCTCAATTTTATTTGTTATTATTGTAGGATTTTTATTCATTCTCAATTTCTATTTAAACAGACAGTCATCGTGAACTAGAAATTTGGAAGTACACATTTTTTTTTTTTCGTAATTAACAAAAATCTTATGATTTTTTACATTTATCACATTTTGACATTTAAATTTTTTTATTCTCTTGTCTTTTTAAATATTTGTAAAAAAATAAAGACTATTTTGTAAGGTAGTAGATGCCGTTCAAACTGGCAACTATTTTATCCGACTGAAATTACCCGATCGAGCTCAGACTATACATTCAAATTCCCTTATTTGAAATCTCACTCGTACCACTGAAATTCGGAGAAATTACGAATTTCATATTGTGAATTCCGAATTCCGAAATTCGTAATAGAGTAATTATTTATCATACTCGTAATGAAGATAAATGTCAAAATTCTACTAATGAAATTTTCGAAACGTGTAGAAAGTCAGTATTCAAGACAGTTAAAATTTTTTTTTTGTTAGTTTTTATTTATTTGTTGAATTTTTTTTCATGTAAAAGAGGAGGAAATGCAAGTATTTGTTTAGAATTTATTTTATTTATGTTATATTAAAATTTTCTTGAAGGAAAACGAAAATTTTTTTTTTTTTTTTGATTGTCTATTGTTTTTGGAAATGTCTATTATTTTTTGATAAGTGTATTTATTTTTTTTAAATATCTACTATGAAATTTGAAAAATTTAAAAAAATTTAAATTTGACAACTTTGACAAATGAATTTGAATAATGTTGCCATTGTAGATTTATAATCTGTACGAGTGAGATTTATAATTACTCAAAAGTCTACATGCGTAACTTAGTATAAAATTCGTAGAATTTATACTCGAGTGGAATTCACAATAAAGGTGATATGTCAAAGTGTGATCTCTTTATTTATAAAAGCTCTATATGTATCTAAATAGTATTCCTTCCAATTCAATATTTGTGCTGTAAATTTTTGTTGTTTCATTATTATAAAATTGTTTCAAATTATTATACACACGTATATGGAATTGAGAATAATTGCTAATTCCTAAAATTTGTGAATTTCTAAATACAATTTCTCACAAAAGTGTTGCGATATAATTGAGAATAGAAGTGAATATTATTTGTTCAACAAAAAAGAACGTAAACTAGAAAATTTTGTAATTTATAAATATTAAAATGCAAAAATTCAAAAATTTTACAAAATAAAATAAATTTTCATTCAAAATCAAATTAAATAATTCATTTATACAAAAATGAAATAATCAATAATTTCCAAATACATAATATACATAAGTATGTAAAAATAAAGTATATAATATAAAAAAAAAATTATTTTCATTATAAAAATAACAATAATTGACTTAATTTCTTCATCTTCTACAAAAAAAAAAAAATTCTACATCAAAACAAACAAGAGATTCAATAATATTATTATAAAAAAATAAAATATTTTACAAAATGCATAAATAAATGAATAAAAATAATTGTGAACAAAAAAAAAAGCAAGTATAAAAATTATTAAAAAATTAATAAAAAAAAAAATGTATAAAAATAAAAAAAAAAACCATTTTCAAAAAATATTTTCTCGTAAAAATAACACTTTATTTAAGTGTGGAAATACTTAAAATATAAAGAAAAGAAAAAATGTTAAATTAAATTAAAAATAAATAAATAAATAAAAATAAAACAAAAAAAAAATGAAGATAAATACTTTTTAAGAAAAGAAAATATAAATTAAATTTAATAATAAATCAGAAAACAGAAAACAAATAAACAATAAATAAATAAATAAGTAAAAATCAAGAAATCAAGATATTTTCGAAATAAAATTCAAAAAATTACAACAACTATTTAAAAATGAAATGCGAAAAATATTAAAGTATAAAAATAAATATTCGAAAATATATAAACTAAAATATGAATATATATATATATATATATATATATATAAAACAAATTAAATTATTTAATAAGTGCTTATCTTTTCTATTTCTATTTATAATCCATAAAAGAAAAATCTATTATGTTTTCAGAAATTTTAAAACATTTTAAAAATAATAAAAACAAAAAAAAAAAAACATATTTATAAAAAAAAAAAAAATCATTAATTTTTTTTTTTTCCAAGATTTTGTTTTTGTTTGTTAATTAATTAATTAATTAATTAATTATATTATCAAGGAGTAAAACGGAATTAATTCCAAAAAAAAAAGAGTTCCCACCCACTGTTATTCTCACTTCAAATGTGATCGATGTGAATATTAATTAAAAATACTGTAAAATCTGTCATAGTCGACGAATCTTGTAATAGGAAACGAAAATTTGTCATTGTCGTCAAAAAAAAAAAAACAAAAAAACGTTAAAGAACATAAGCTAAACGGGAAGTTTAACTAGGCCGAGTTAAATGGAAAAGAACACCAACAAAAAGCCTTTCGAATGTGAAGCTTTCGAAAGCCTCTAAAAAATTACTATAAAATATAGGAGCTTAAAATTTAAACATTTCTGTATTGTTTTGACTTGGAGATGACTTGGACAAACACTAGAATCGATTTTTTTTTAAAATAACTTTAATTTCATAAATATCACGGAGAAAAGTATAAATGCTGTAAAGGTTTGAAAGTTTTAATTTTTAATAAAATTTAATAAAACCGGTATAAGCTGTGAAAACATTGAAAAAAAAAACTTCAGTCCAATTCCTCCTCTGACAAGTGTTATTATCTATTGAAATTTCTATTCTTTTCAAAAGAATTTTCATATTTTAAAATTTTAAAATTAAAAATTTATCAAAAAAAATTTTGAAAAATATTTTCACCATCCTATTACAAGTGATATGTACTCGAAGCCATTCAAAGTCTAAAAGAATTGCTTTGGTAAGAATGGTAAAAAAATTATTTTTTTTTATTCAAATTAATGACAAATTTCGACTGGAAAATTCCTGACTGGATAAACTATTTTTTGAAATTCTTTGAATTTTTTTGCCCAATTTTTATTGAAATATTTACCCAAAAAAAAAATTTTTATAAAAATACCCATTTGGCATAATTTCTATTTGAAATAATTTTCAAATTTTGTACTTAAAACGGGGGGGAAAAAAAAGATCATCAGCAGTTGAGAAGAAATTCTTAGAGACTTAACAATTTTTTATAAATTAAATTTTAAAATTTTTTATTTATTTTTTTTTTTCCATTGAAATTCAATAAAACTATTTTAAATTTTATTTTTGAGTTTAAATTGTTATACCATTAATATTTCGTTATTATAATTAAAAAAATCAATTAATTTTTGTACTTCTTTTTTTGGTTAAAGAAGACCCAGAGAACAGAAATCAATAAAGTAATTATAAAAAAAATTAAGTAATTATATTGACTTTCAAATTTTTTGCAATAATATCGTAATTAATAAATAATTTAGTTAATAAATTTCAATATGTGTCGATTTCTATTTATTAAATACCCGTATTATTGTCATTTGAAAGTCGTCAGGGATGTACTAAATATAAACAAAAATTGATTTCTCTTAAAATAATTAAAATTAAATTTAATATTCGGAAATATTAAACAAAACAAAAAAAAAATAAATTAAATTAAATTCAATTAAATAGATATGAGAATATAAAACTAAAAATAAATAATTAAAATAAATTAATTAAAAAAAAAAAATGAATACGATGAATACAAAAAAAATCATTTTACATAAATTAAAAACACAAAATAAACATGCAACAAAAATTATTTATGTTATTAACAAAAAACATAAACAAGAAACAACTACATCAAATATAATTAAATATATATATATATATATATATATATATATAATAATAAAATATATAATGAAATTTTTATATGGTCTTTCAGAATTTATTTCATTAAAAAATTCAAAATAAACAAGAAGAAATACAATGAAAAAACAAAAAGAAAAAAAAAATCAAGATAAACAAAAATTAAAAATTACAATATAAAAATCATTATAAATATATAAAATGAAATGAAAAATAAAATGAACCTATAAATATGAAACAAAAACATGAAAAAAAAACAAAAATAAAAAAAACACAAAAAAAAAAGAAGAATATTCTTAGAACTAATTATAAAAATTTAATAATAAATAAAAGAAAAATACAAAAAAAAAAAAAAAATAAAATTTAAAAATTAAAAAAAAAAAATCTAAATATATTTTGTTTTATTAATATTTTATCAAATATAACAGATTTTCAAATTCTTGGCTCTTAAAATAATCAACGTTTGAGTCAAGCTGCAATATCTGCAAAAATAAAATAATGGACGAAAATAAAAGTTTTGTCTAAAATTCTGAAATGAATTTTTAAATTTTTTTTTTTGTAATTTTTATAGGAACTGGAATCAGAAGATAAGCATAATAGAAAAATTTTGAATATTGAAGAATATGGTACTTTTCATAATATTGTCATTAATTTGACACTCAAAACGAGACTCAAAAATTTCCAAAAATTGACAACGCAAAAATTTTCCAAAAATTAATGCAATGTCGCAATTTATTTTTCTTACAACAATATGTCAAAATATTTTTATATTTCTAAAATAATTTTTGTGTTTATAAGATGTCTGAGACGGAATCAAGGTATTTCAATAATTATATATTAATTAACTAAAATTTATAATAAAAATGTGTTGTATTAAATGTATTATATATATATATATTTTTTTTTTTATGTCAAAGAGCATTGGTAAATTCTTAATTGTCAAATTTTACAAAATCTGAGTTGTCTGAGTTTGGGCTTTTTCGATAATTCAGTTCTGTACTGAAAGATCTAACTTAGGTTTGTAAAAGCTTTTTACGCATACTTACAAACTTCTACAATCTGAATGACATATCTTTGCATGTCTGAAATGTTTATAATTTTTTTTAACAAGCTTTTATTTTGTTGTTTGCAAATTGTCAATTTTATAAAAATAAAAAAAGAAAGATGTCTGAAGAACAAAAAAAATTTCTAAGCAAATATGTTACAGATCAGAAAAAATTGAAAAAAGTAATATACATACGTTTTTATCTGGAAAATAAAAGAAGACGAAAGCATTTGTTACTAACATACATTAAAGAAAACGAAAAGAACCTTGTACCTAAGGTACCCAATTACTTAGAAACAATCAATTTGATGCCGGATACCATATTTTTTGAACATTTCAGGATGGAGCGCGATTGTTTTGTAGTACTTTGTTTCATCATCAAGTCTGGCTTGTATCAACATTTTTATTTTACATTTATCCCAAAATTTTTCATTTTCTAACTCTCTATGAAAGAAAAACATAAATTATTAAATGTACAAAACAAAAATTGCATAAATTTACCCCATTAATTCTTCAATATCCGACATTTTTCTATTTTACTAATTTTCACTTTTATTGCAGTATTAAAAAAAAAATCTTTAAAATTGCCTAAGAACTTAAAGCTCAATCGTATTTTCGAACGAGCTTTTTTTTGCACGAGAACATTATCGAACATGCTAATTTTACAGATTTTGCAGATTCGATTTATCGAACGTGCTTTACATTCAGAACTAAGTTAGAACTGAATTATCGAAAAAGCCCTTTACGAATACTCTACTGCGTTTTTACTTTCAGTCAAAGCTTAAATTCTTAAACGTTTAAAAAAAGTCAATTAAGCGTCAAAATTGTAGATTTTTTTTTTACATGGAGACAGTCTGACGTAGTAATTCAGCAAATAAATCTGATGTATTGAGTGACTATCATTACGTTAAACATAATATAAAAAATATTTTTTTTGTTAATTTTTAATATGTAAGTATAGGTCTTTCTGAAAATGCAGTTCTAACTTAGTACTAAATTGCAGCACATTTGTTTAATAAGAACTGCTTCAACTACAAAGCAGTGTTTTTAAAAATTCAGAACTGCAGTAGCAGCCATTTTGAAAACTACAACTGCAATTAAGATATTTCAGAAACTTCACGCAACATCGCATTTTTAATTTTCTAACTGCGCTAACTTAAATTGAATATTAAGCAAGATGGACGATGATGATATAGAAGATTTATTAGCGTAAGTTTAAACTCTTATCTCGATTTGCTTCTGTAAGATATTCGAATTTATAATTTTTAATTAATTTTTTCCTTAAATCCATTTTTTATGTCTAAAAAATAACAACTTCAATTTTGTACTATTGGTAGAACTGCATTTTCAAATATGACTTAGATAAAGATTTGCAAGAACTTTTTTACTACGACAAAACAAATGACAATTTTTTGCAGTTGTCAATCAATGCGAAAAAGTTTTTTTAGTTTTAAGTTAGAAATGCGTACGCATACTGCGTTTTCAGAAGAACCTTATAAAATTTACGGATGATCAAAATTCAAAGTCAATTACGTGTAAAAAGTTTACTACATTTCTGTTCGTAAAAGTTTTATACGTCAGAAAGTTTGCAGACAGAAAACAAAATTTTGCCCTTAAAAAATTTGCGGCATCACTTTCATTTTTCATAATGATCAATGTCATATATGCAAATAATTACAACAATCAACAATTCTGACATCAATGACAAAAATCATTAGAACATAATCGTCAAATCGTTGACAATTATGAAAAGTGCCTATTACTTGAGCATTATTATAAATTGATAAGTAAAATATTTAATTTCTACAAATTTTGAGAGCACTTATGTGTTAAAATACTTTTAAAATTTAATTAAAAACTTTCAATGCATATTTCTGAATTATCGAAAATCTCTATACTTATATAAAGCCATATCCTGTTTGTCATGTCACTGACGTAAATATTCCTAGATATGATGGGTCGTTGATGTAGAAACGATAAAAAATATTTTTAGGTTTTGCAGGATAAACTAGATGTCATAAGAAAATTTTAAAATAGAATGATATGCAAAATATTTTGGTTATAAAAACAAAAAGAAAAACAAACCTTGTGACCGAAATTACAGATTGATTGTCAGTCTGTATAGTTTGTAAGGGGATTTTCATTAATTATAGATTAATTCTAACTTATGGCACGTTTAAAAATTGCACACAACACAAACTGAAAATATAAATCATTAGTGAAATTAATCGCTTTAATAAAATGTATTCGAAAATTCATTCTATAATTCTGTAATAAAGAAATAATGTTTGAAATGTAGAGTAGACATTTGGGTTTCACTGTCGTATAAAAGTTTTTTTTAATTTAAGAATTTAAAAATTTCAAAATTAGAATGTTATTTTTGTGTCATTTTCAAACGGCTGGTTATATTTTAGAAATTTCAGAAATTTGCAGACTGTGTAAACACAAAAAAAAAATTTTCTAAAATTTTTTGCATACTGTTTAACAAAATATCTTTATATGTCAGTTTAACGCTGCTACAGCTTAAATATTTAAATTGTAAAGTAGAATTTTCAGTGCAGTGTATATATAAACGAAAGAGGAAATTTTGCACGAAATGGTAAAGAAATCTGTTTGAAAATTCTAGATTTACAAAATGAGAATTTAAATAAGCATGGTAATTATGGGCTTTTTCGATAATTCAGTTCTAACTTAGTTCTGAATGTAAAGCACGTTCGATAAATCGAATCTGCAAAATCTGTAAAAGTAGCATGTTCGATAATGTTCTCGTGCAAAAAAAACCGAAAATACGATTGAGCTTTAAGTTCTTAGGCAATTTTAAAGATTTTTTTTTAATACTGCAATAAAAGTGAAAATTAGTAAAATAGAAAAATGTCGGATATTGAAGAATTAATGGGGTAA